TCCTACTATCGCTATCGAAACGCTATCGAAACTCAAGGGAGTAGGATGTAGAATCCTACTCCCTTGAGTTTCGATAGCGTATTCTAAGTAGACGGTCGATTTATTTGACTAAAATTACATTTTTAAAAAGGTAGGTGGATGTTTTTACGGTAGTTTTATAAATGTAGTGGCGCCATCTATGTCATAATCTGTTAGGGGCAATGGCATAATAAACGTCAGTCTGTTGTAATTCGCGCCTTTAAGTCTCAAAAAATATTATAGATAATGAAAACAGTCAAAACCTTCATGTAACTGCTTCAAATTAATAGTTATTAATACAATAAGTACTTACTCCGTCGTCCCGGCAGTAGGCGAACAGTTATTCCGTCTGGTGCTCGAACTGTAAAAATTAATATAAGTACTTACATATTACCAAAAAGTAATGTCATTAAAATTGTTACTGGTTTCAAAAAATGCATTCCACTTCACGACATCTTTGTTAAGGTATTAATGAGAGCAAAAAAAAACAACTTACCTTTTAGTTTATTAAATTGAAAAGAAAACAAAACAGGAGATTAGGTTAACATTTAGGTACACATTCTTTGCCATTATAGTTTTATTATTATATTTAAATACATACTTGTAATATTTATAGTATATGGCTATTTTATTGTTTATTATATTTTTATTCAACGTTGCAAATGGAGTTTAAGTTACGGTGAGGCTAAACGAGCATACAATGAGTCGCGAAATTTACGATGCATTCAGTTTCATACTAAGTCCTGTTTGTGTCACACACACAGCGGTGCATAATGACTGCCGTTGTCCTCGGGTTGGCAAAAGGGAGGGGAGCGATTACAAACTTTGGATAGAACCTCAAGCTACGTTCGTCCGTCCGACATCCTGACCGGATTTCGAAATCAAAATACGCGATTCACGACTCACAAAACTACGCTCGTTTGGCCGCACCCTTACAAAGTATACCAGAGATTAATGTTTGTAGTAAGCATTGTTTTTTTCAATGTTTGTTGTTTTTATGAACATTGCTTTGCTACGTTTATTATATTTTTTAAATACTAAAGGCAGAGAACACGTAATCATTAAAATGTAGCTGTCAAAAGGGTAACTTGCATGACAAAGAAAAATCGAAATATGATAGTAGTAAACATAATATTTATTTATTCTCTGATATACAATAAAAATGGATCACAATTCAAATTAACCTACACAATAACAACGTTTAAACTTCAAGCCACAATATTTTAATATTTAATTAAAATAAATAATGTGCATTCAACATTTTTTTTAAATAACAATCTAGCACACATTACTAAGTAACTAACATTTTAAGGCCAAATACATATAGTTTACTAAACGTTGGAAGTTCATTTAATAAAAATGTAAATGTGTCAAATTAAATTTTCGGAGTCCATATATATTTTAGTTTGGTAAACAATTATTGGATTTACAAATGTACTTTATTGCACAATATACGGACAATAATATATGTTATTTGATTAGCATTCAGTGATTTGAATGTCTCCTATTCCTAATATGTAGTTGTAGTAAAAGACAAGTAAGGATAGATATATCAACAATGAAAAAATCCCTACGACTATCACAGTTAAATTCGAAACAACATTACAATATACCTGCCTTGTCAAAATACTATATGTATGTTGCTTAGTATCAATAATTATTGCAATAAAAAGAAGCAACTTGAATGAATTTATTAAAAAAATATTATGTGATCTGTATGCCTGTTTGCTTGTAACTAAAACCAAAACACATTTCAACGGAATTTATTTAGTTTTAGGTGATTCAATGTTGCGGGGGTCGTCTACTCGTCTGTAGATGACCCGAGATATGTCGGGGCACCAGGGCCTTCCTTTCTAGGGTATACCTGGTTCCCCGGCTATTAGTACCCGGCGAAGGCGTGCGGTTTTAGTCGGTTCGAGTCCGACATGCCACCGACAGGTGGTATCCGAGGGGATTTCCGCACGGAAAAAAAAAAAAAAAAGGTGATTCAATGTTATTATTAAAAGACCGGTTACGACCGTCGATGTCTAGAAAAATCAAAAAATGTAGTATCGGAATAAGTTAGGCTGTTTTCATAACTTTTCAAATTGTACATATTAAAAAAATATTTTTCCATAATGCAACGACGCGACGACTTATGTATGTAAGGATCGTTCGTTTTTTTATAACGCAGTATGCTGAAAAGTCACAACTGAAGTATGATTTTATTATTTAATACATCGACAGTCAGAATTTTTTACTTCAGATTTGTGATGAAATATGTAGTAAATAGTATGAATAAAAAAAAAACATCGCGTATTATGGCATACAGTACAGTAATTATTATAAGTCATTATTATGAAAACTGAGCAAGAAAATTTGAGCAAAATCACAGACGTCTGGTAAAATTTGTTTATAATTTTTTTGAAGGGCAATAATTTTTTTTAATCATTTTTGGCAAGGCGCAATAATAGTCTTAAAACGAGATCGTGTGATGTCCCACTAAATTAATTGACCAGTCAACAAGTGATGTCTAAGTCTGCCTAATAAAATTTAATTAAGTAAAACAATAAATACACCTCATCTAATAATTTCTTTGTGCTTAAAACTATTTAAAAAGTATAGTTTACAAAATCTCGAGTTTCAACGGTTATTCAGCATTTTTTCGTATTCTTTATATATTTTTGAAATTTTATTTCACTTTATTTAAAAGATTAGGTTGAATATAATTAGGATTCTATGTATTTATTTATTAAAAAGCAACAACAATATACATATACAACATTATTTCTTATTTAGTTTACTATTTACTATAACCTATAAATTACTCTTCGTGGCGCCATTAGAAAAAATTAAATATGGAAACGCGATACCGTCAAATTAATTTCTTGGACATTTTGTTAGAGGTTGTATTTAACTGCAAAAAAATGTCCAATCTCAATCAAAATACCGATTGCACAGCAAAATAATAACCTCAAAAGATTATTTTTTGCAACTAGTTAGTGACGCATCGCTATTATTTGAAAACCTTTTTGTAATCCAACATAAACTACTATTTTGGAAGCAGCTCGTTTCTGATGGGGTCGCCTTAAATTAAAAAAATCGTATTAGTTTAGTAGACGGGTTGCAAAAATAATTTGTCATTATTATTTTGTCATATGTGTGAGTTAATACTCACGTTTACGTTGGTAAGCTCTGGTTAATTTGATGTGCAATCACTATTTTTGATATTAAAATAATATATTTACCTACATTGGACAACTTTTTTGTCGAACATTTGAGGAAAAAATATGTATACACGGTTGATGTATATTTTGTTAAACAATTGGTTTATTTGCAATGAAATAATTTATTTGATGTAAAAATAATTTCATTGATGAATATAAATGGATGGGTGATAAGTTCATTTAAAAATATCCCTTTTGTTAATATAAAGTATGTATAAAAACAAGGTATCAAATGACAAATTCTTTTTTTTCCTATCCAGCGACGTGTTTAATTATACAAACGGTAGTGAGTCATGGTGGAAGGAAAGTCACGTGCCCGTAAAGTTGTATCATCTAAATACGGACATTTAAACGCTAAGCACGTACTTTCCGTCGAATGATTCAAGATCTAAGATTATCAAAACAACTGATAAATGCCTAACAAAACATTCTTAGTTAAACTATCTTCGATTTCGGCAAAACATAGAAAAAATTCTAAGCTTGAGATGGATGAATGGAAAATTACCGAATCCAATTATACTGTAGTAACAAATACGCTGATTTACGCTTACGCTTTTGCGATTGATAACGCTCAAGGCGTTTTTTACATATTGTACATTATTTTGAATAGCTCTTACAGAACTCAATCACGTTTTTTGCTTTGAGGGTGGTTAGACTATCTTTTGATTCCAAATCGTTACGGATTTCAGAACAGTTTGACTTTTTCTGGAACTCGTTGGCCGTTTTTTTTTATTACCCTTGACCGCTGTTGTAAATGGTAGTGGAAAGTACACAATCTATAAGCTCACTAAGTTTACTTAAGCAGACTTGATTCAGGGTCAGGTGACATTCGTTCCTAAATATTAAAGTAGAAACTACACCCTTGGTACAGCCAATACTCATTGAGAAAGTATTGTAAAATCAGTATTAGCGTATAATGCTCATAATTTTTCATCCCCTATAATCTAAGTAAGATTTGGTTACTATAACTGAATCTAGAAGTGTTTTTTTTTAATTATACACGTAGCATAACATCACGGGAAGATAATTTAGTTTTTTTTTTAAATTAAGTTCATGTTCTCTTGTATGTAAGTGTAAAGTCGTGAAATCGCAGAGATTTGGCGTTCCCTTATGTATAAGGACTCTCACAAAGCTGCATTCAAATATTTTCTTTCTGAACCCTATTATTTCTTTTCGATAATTCTTATATACAACTGTTTGTTGCGGTAAGTAGATGCTGAATAACCGACGAAATAAATTACTAATATTGTATAGGTCTAAATAAATTACTAATATTGTATATCCCTACATTTTTTACAAGTCGTGGAAAAATCCAAACGCATACAAAAAGAGACGAACACACATGCGAGGATCATATTTGCTCATTTACGTCTATACCAAAAACTTTTTCAGTCCATTGCGATTTTATTAGTCTAGACACAAATGAGGTTTTATTGTAAAAAAATCAAATATGATTCTTTAAATTATTAAAGAAAAATATAAACAGAAAATTCCAACAGTTCACAGTGATGGTATTTTCATTGTTAATTAACGTTTTCATGCCAACATAACATGCCGGATAAGTCTTAAAGCACAATATAATTTCCGATTAGCCTCAAGTTTACAACACTTCAAACACACATCGAGTTTAAAAAGTTTTGAACACTGATACACAAGCACTGGTTGTTCATGGTTTTAAGTTTTTAAACACTATAGGCACTGTATAAGGCAAAGGAACTTTATTTATAAGGCCACCTTTGGCGCGAATGTCAGGGTTGGATAATGTTTGAAAATCGACTAGGCTGATTGAGTTTGAGTTAGTGTGGGCGGTAGGTTAGCGCCTCTTCGGCTGTGGTCACGGAAGGAGCCGAAGCCGGAGTCCTGTGTCCTAAGGGGTGATGGGGACGTACCTACTAATATCCGTGGCATATCGCACTCCTCACACTTATCGAGGAGTGGGTGATTCCTGAACGTACACATGTGGCACTGCCAGGACGACGACGGCCGCTGGCCGGTGTAGATGTTGCTGTAGAAATTCCCTGAATCGTCTGGTTCTGTAAATAAAAAGTTATAATTGTAAACAAAGAGGTAAAAATCACTACGCGTTTAGTTCTGCTTATCATTACATCGTCTGTGCTTGTGTAGGAGAGTAAGTTATCACTATGTTTGTTGCATGGCGTTTTTGATAAAACATAATATGTGTGTAGGCGTCAATGTTACAAGGTTACACTTGTTGGTATCACTTTTCAGATATATTATGTAAAATATTAATGGCGATTGCCTCTGCGTCGAGTGCTATAAAGAATACTTTTGAGTAATTTCTATTTTCAGTTGGGGCAGCACTTTATCAGACCATTAAAGAGCTGATGATGGCTTAAATCGGTTAATCCGTCTAGGACATATGACGTTACGGAGAGACAGTGAAAAGCTGGAATCCCTTTGGAATTAATGCCATACACCAGGGCTCTCAACAAATGCGTGACAGGAATCTTTATTTTATCTGTTCTACTCACGCATCTCTAGTCTTGGTATTTGGTTTGACGATCTATGGAGGTAGAGTAGCTATTTTTCACCCACAAACGTACGTACTATCCGTACAAAAACCCACCAATACTACCCATTTGTATAATAATACCAACAATCATACATTACCATTGCCAGTCATTTCGAGTCTTTTTGCGAGAGATCCACACTGGTTTCGCAACCTCTCAACGTCATCTCGGAGCCGCTGAGTGGCCGACGGTAATGGCGGCGGCCCCGCCAAGATCCGCGTTTCTTTGGTCAGTTGGGCCAGTCGCCCTTTCTCCTGGGCCAACGCCATCGCTAATCGTTCCAGCCTTTCCTTTTGGCGTTCTATTAGCGATCGATCTAGAAACAATTTAATATGAGATGTTTAAAAATTTAAAGCTAAATTAACAATCTATTACTTTCCAAAATCCTAACCGAATATAGTAAGTCTTTATGCGTACACAAATATTGCTAAGTAACTCTATTTAGTAAAGAGTATCAATATGGAGAATATGGATACGGCCGATACAAAATGTTGTTACTTAACGAATTAGGAAGTAAGAACACAAAACTTTTTGCTGTAGAATTATCAATTAATTGTGTTACAACTCGCGAAAAAAGTAACTTGGTAGAGGTAACTAAGTAACGACATTGTAATTCCATATTTATTATTATTAAATATATACTATAGATGGAATTACGATGTTATTTAAGCATTTTGCATATAAAGCAACCAGGACTGAAGTTGCTGCATGTGTGAGGTTTCCTTCGCAGTATAAGCTTAACTCTAACAATGCAAGTTTAAAGCACGCGTGTCTGCTTGAAGCACTTCAAAGTTACAGGGCAATCGAAAAGGTTCTGAATATCTTCCAGATAAGGATAGAGATTTTGTGCCTTTTTTACAAGATTTTACAGGGGCACTCCCGAGCCCCCTGATAAAATTCCACGCGCTGAAGTTCAAAGATTTAAATGTCAGATTAGATTATTCAATGGACGATAATAAGATATAGCTTTTATCACTGACAATATTTGTCATTTGCAAATTAGATATTTATTTTAAAAAGAGAAAAACTCACATCATTAATTAAATTGGTAATAAAACAATGTATACCAATACTATAAATTTTAATTTGTTTGTTTGGTAGTGTGTGATAATCTGAGGTTCTAGTGAGGAACTAGTGGTTCGAAAAAAATATTTTAGTGTTGAATAGGCCAATTATTGAGGAAGGCTATTATAACATCACCCTAGGACCGATAGGAGATAAGTAACATTGCAAAATGTTGCCAGGACAGGAAAATTATTACCTGAAGCAGAACGAAAGAAGCAGTCGAAATTGTGTGGATCAGCTTGGTCATTCATTCATTTGGTCTTTACTTTATTTTTTATTATTTTGGTAATGGGGTGGAAAATCCCTTTGGATCTCCGGCTCTTAGGGATATAGGAGCCAGGAGTATGTGGTGTTTCCACTAAAAACCACCCCGACGGCCAGCTTTAGGCGCCCTGCTCTAAGGAGAACCCGGGCCATGTGATTTCAGCCCCCTCCCCACACAGATCGACGCTGCACCTAACAAGGCACTCAGGGAAAGCAATTTGGTCTTTACCTATGAAGTTGGAGATTTGTATGAAATTTCTTTAATATAAAGAATGTAGCTAATTAAAGTAGTGGCCCAAATTATCTATACAAATAATTTAAGTATGAGTATTTAAAAAATATGAATAATTTACAGGCTAAATAACCTGATAACGTGCATTATTTTATACTATCTTATACCTAAACAGGGTTAGTTTTGAATACCTTACATACCATATAAAAAACACAATTTTGAGGGAGCAGAAATTCATTCAATGTGATTTATTAAGATGAGAGCCAAATTCTAAGTTTATATTCTTTTAACCTATTCAATAAAACTATTTCATCTGAAGGCCAATTCTCGTGATAAAAATTCGTTCATAATTCAGTTCCGATCTACTCTTGATCTCACAAATGCCATAAAAGGTATTCTCGTAGTCAAGTAAAATATTAACCAGCAGAATACCGATTCAACTTCCCGTCCAAACACGATATTATCACGTTACAATCAATGTCGGATGTGGTGACGGATTAAGAATACAGACTGTCACCACCCCTATTTATCCCGTGGGTGTCGTAAGAGGCGACTAAGGGAGCAAACTACGCAGGACAACAGCACTGCAGAGAGAAGGAAAACTCGACACAAACCATATACCAACCCGTTTGGCCAGCGTTGTATAGTAGGCCAAAACCTCCTTTCTAAGGAGAGGCATATGTCCAGCAGTGGACTATTAAAGGCTGTTGATGATGATGATGAATCAGTTTTGGATGTTTAATACTTTCACGAGAATACATTTTATGAGACAGAGATCGAAACTAAGTTCTGAACGAATTTTTATTACGAGAATTGACCTTGTGGAGATAGGTGGGTCTTTATAAACGTTGTTGGAGTAAACAGTTGTGTGCAAAATGTTTGTCTCATGTACAGGTCAAAAATTTTATCTACTGCCTATCACCACGATATGAAAAGGATAATTTGTCAAAGTGGGTGATAGATAAGCTAGTTCTAAAAGTTTGGAGATCGTCACTAATTGTAATGGACAACGCTATCGTTCTGTTCAGATTAACCACCACCCACACAAGCTTATCATATCACTAATATAGAAGTACTGAAACGAATGGCTTTGCCCAAATGATGTTCACCATCATGATCGTAACGAGTACATGAAATAGTAAAACATAAGAATTTTCAACTTTAATGAGATAGACGAAGTATTGAAATCACTAGCGCATAAAAAATTTGCTAAATAATATGTAAATAGGCTTGAAAGTGATGTCAATGTGTAGAGGAATCGCAGAAAACGTTTTCAACGTATAGAAACAATCGTAAAAAATTCATTGATCAAGTTGGAATAATAATGAATATCTAAACTACAAATTTAAAAAATTAAGATAACGTATATAATTAGAAAATAAGTTTTACTATTTATATTAATCATGTACAATATACTATATCATATCATATCAACAGCCTTTAATAGTCCACTGCTGGACATAGGCCTCTCCTCAGAAAGGGGGTTTTGGCCTACTATGCCACGCTGGCCAGACGGGTTGGTATAGGGTTTATGTCAAGTTTTCCTTCTCTTTGCAGTGCTGTTGTCCTGCGTAGTTTGCTCCCTTAGTCGCCTCTTACGACACCCACGGGATGAATAGGTGTGACGACACTCCGTATTCTTAATCCGTCACCACACGGATCACAATTGGATTGAATTGAAGATCCAGGAAACGAGATTTATTAAGACTCTTCTTCAAATATCTGAAGACAACAAACATGAAGTGGAGTTTTTGGAATAACTTTCTAGTTCTAGACAGATATATAGATAAATAGGTACTTTATTTGTACATCAGGGTCTTAAAGAGATTATACACTATAAGATGCCTTAGAATTTCGGAATAAAATGTAGCAATGTCCTCCTTAAAATATACAATGTGATGTGATAACATCAGACTATTCCAAAGGGTTTAGAAGGATAAGGTAGGGTTAGGGCCCCAAAAAGATATTTTGAAAATAACTCATTAGGCAACATGGGCGAGGTGTAAAACTATAATTAACAGAAATTCAGCCTCTCATCTCGCTGCGTTCTGGAGATAATTGTTCAAAAAGACGCTATAGCGATTTTTTTTCAAAAACTATTACAGCTGCACTAATGAAACAAAAACTGGTCGTAAGACAAAATATTAATCTGTATTATATATTTATTTTAGAATGTCTCTGTTGTATTTAATTTCTTTTTTTAGATGTATTTCATAATTCACGCAGACACATACAATATCATCACAGAAAATAATTTAATTTATTATGACCGTCTTAGGTACTAATGAATTTAAATTTGTTTTTTGATTATACATAATACACGCGGGCGGAGCCGCGGGCAAAAACTAGTATGAATATAATATATTATATTATATTATAGCCTCTCTCACTCAGCGATAATGCAGTTAGATAATTTTTAGTAAAAAAAATTAAGAATCGGTTCAGTAATTTCAATAATCCCGTACAGACAAACAAATTTTACCTCTTTATAATATTGGTATAGAAAAAGTATAGATATCTCTATACAGTCATCAGGAATATGGGGGTTAACTAACAGAGATGGCCATTGTTTAACTATGCGAGAAGGACTAAAAGTATTATGGGAATTCCTTATACCTACATTTGTAATTGTTTTGCATCACAATCTAGCCTAAATTTATAAATTTGTGTCACCTACAATATTGTTTTTGTAAATAAATGAACAAATACTTATTCACCACATCACATCATCCTTTCAGAGTCTACTGTTGGACTTAGGTCTCTTCTTGGAAGGGAGGTTTTGGCCTACTAAACCACGCTGGCCAGACGGGTTGGCATAGGGTTTGTGACAATTTTTCCTTCTGTTTGCAGAGCTGTTGTCCTGCGTAGTTCGCTCCCTTAGTCGGCTCTTACGAAACCAACAGGATGAATAGGGGTGGTGACACGCCGTATTCTTAATCCGACACAACAGATACTTATTAACTGAATAAATTTATGTGTTTATATTAATTGATTTCGCCAGTGTCAGATAGTATGACATAAATTACTGTTTATTTCAATTTTATACAATAGTATAGTAGTAAAATTTTGAACAAACAACGGGTGAAATGGAAGTATTTTACTATCTATGTCATCGTTTTGACATTTTTTCTGTCTCTATTAGTTGTAACGCAATTTTCGTTTGAGAGGCTACCTATTAGGGTTCTGGGTGCACTGATGCCGAAATCTCAATTTGTCTATATTTGTAAAGGCTTTAGTACACAATGGCCAGTGTTGAGCCTTGCTCCGCAATGTGTTGGCTGTTTTCGTCATTAGTAGATCCAACACTGGTTCATACATGCTCGAGGATGTCATGCAAATCATAAACATCTTGTATATGACTGGTAATCATGTATACTTTTTCATTTTGGCCAATATTCTCGATGATTTCGAAACAAGATTTAAAAGTAACTTTTGACAAAATATATGTCTATTATTTCGGCAACAGTCGGCAAATAACACTAATGCAATAAAAATGTACGACAGTCATTGTACATGTATAAAAAAGTAGAAGGTTTTAAAGCTTTGATAAAGTTACAAATACAGATTTTTAGACCCTATATTGTTAAATGACCTACACTCATCCTTGGTAACAGGTTTTTTAATAAATAACTAGGTCAAGAAACCGGGCAATAATATTATAATGATGATACTTGTCACATGTAAACAAAAGAATGCACAGTAAGCCACATCTATCGGCAAAATTGTTTGACGTCTAGTAAATGATTCGAAAGCGG